CTTATTTTTTCTTTTGTTTCCCTTGCCTGACAATATACAAAGACAGATATTATATAAGGATAAAAGGGACATTCCACCAAGAAGACATAATACATTGATATACATGAACCTAACACAGGAGCAACAAACTATAGAAAGCAACTATTAACAGACTTAAAGGGAGAAATTGACAGCAACACAATAATTGTAGGGGACTTCAACACCCCACTCACATCAATGGATTGATCATCCAGACAGAAAGTCAACAAGGAAACCGTGGCCTTAAATGAAACATCAGACCAGATGGACTTAATAGATATATATAGAACATTTCATCCCAAAACAGCAGAATACACATTCTTCTCAAGTTCACATGGAACATTTTCAAAGATAGACATATGTTGGGAAACAAAGCAAGCCTCAATAATTCTAAGAAGATTGAAATCATATCACGCATTTTTCTGACCACAATGGTATGAAACTAGAAATCAACTACAAGAAAAAGTTGGAAAAGTCACAAATATTTGGACACTAAACAGCATGCTATGTTCGTGTTATGAACAACTATTGGATCAATGAATAAATCAAAGGAGAAATCAAAATATACCTAGAGAAAAATGAAAATGAAAAACAACATATAAAAACTTATGGGATGCAGCAAAAGTAGTACTAAGAGTGAAATTTATAGCAACACAAGCCTACCTCAAGGAATGAGAAAAATCCTAAATAAACAATCTAACACTGTACTTAAAAGAACTAGAAAAAGAAGAATAAACAAAACCTAAAGTCAGTAGAAGGACAGAAATAAAAATCAGAGCAGAAATAGATGAAAGAGAGACTAGAAAATGAATAGAAAAGTTCAATGAAACTAAGAGCTGTTTCTTTGAGAAGATAAGTCTCTTTCTTTAGAGGTAGAGATGCCATGTGGGCAGAGATTATAAGATCAGAAAATCCAGACACTCAATCGGAGAACTCCCTGAACTTTAAGCATCTTTTAAGCAACTTTTTAGCATCTTTAATACATTTGAATATGCTGTCCCTTTAACACCTGTTTGAATACTTGTGGCAAAGTCAAAGGACAGGCTGTACTAGGCACCACAGGATGATAATAGCTTCCCTGCCTTCAACAACAAAAGGTCCAGGACACTGACTTATCTTGGGTCCAAGTTGGGAACTGTTTGGGAGAAATATAGTGAAAAAGTAAATAAACCAGAGAAGAATAAAAGAATTGGACAGGGATCTGATGGCAAAGAGAACTTTTCTCAGCTACAGACAAATAGAATCTGGACAGAATGAGAAGGCTCATAACTACACCTGGCACCAGGGAGTAAAGTGGAAATCTCACAAAGGAGGCCACTTTGAGGCCTATAAACACCTTGCAAAGCTACTCATTAGGATTTCAGAACAACAACATGTTTAGGATGTGTGTGTTCAATATATGCATGTCCTGGGTTCTCCTCATAATATTTTTCTAACTTATATGTATATTGTCCTAAACCTTTGTTGATTATAAAGCAAAGCAAAGAGAATAACAGTGTGACAGAGGTAAAAAGCAAATTAAAACAAAAAAAATACTGTAGTCATCGTGTTGAGACTATAAAGTAAACTGAATTAACTGATGGACAGAAGTTGTTCTTTCTGTAATTTTTTTAACAAATTAACTTAAGAAATTCATAAAATATTCTTCAGCATTGATGGTAATATACAATGCATAAATCAGTTAGTTCAAGCTTTACCTTCAGGGACAGTCATTGACCCTAATAGAGAATTCAGAATCCAGGGGTTAGCTAGTCTTGTATCAGAAAGTGTCACATTTCAGACCTGGCTATGCAGTTCAGCTATTCATGTCTCTTTAAGCGAGTCATATCTTGATAAGCACCAGAGGCTTTGCTACTTAGCTTACTGAATATCAGAAATAGCTTTTCATTGGTGAAATGAGTGGTTCCTTTAATTAACATGAATTTAGAAATAAGCTCTCATTGGTGAAACTAAAGGGATTCCATATACGTGAATTGGCCAAAACATCAGAGAATATCCTCATACTTAGAAGAATAAGGTAAGACTCAGGCAAGGGAGGATGTCAGGTGTGATGTCCTGACAGTGCTGCACCAGCTGCTGGTTTAGGAAACTGTGTCCTTGCCTGTTGCCAGCCATTAGGCACAAGATCCTGCCTCCTTCATATCTGTATCATGTGAAACATTCACGAAAGGTGTAGCCAGGCATCTATCCGGGTAGCAAGCTGCACATCGCCTGATGAAGAGACTCTTGCCTAGAGCCCTTCATCATCCTAATACAATGCCACTCAGTCTTGGACTTCACTGGCTCTATATAAAACAGGCATCACCAACAACCAAAGGGATAAGTGGTTTCACTTAGGATTCCATGTTCACACCAATACAAAGTATACTATAAGCACTCTATACAACCCCATATAAACTATATATATATGGAAAGTTCAGTTGGTCCTCCAGGCTTTCAGCCACACCCCAGGACTGTCACACATTACAGTGCTGTGATGTAATCTCAAAACCTCTTCTTCACCGCATGGCTCCAGTAGCAGAAAATAAGGAAAACACAATTGCTTTCATGGCTTTTTAGTGTCTACAGATGCCATCTCTTCAACGAGACTATCACTTAAATTTTTCTACATGCCTCTCGTCCACCCCCCAAATTCGTCTCTCCCTGTTTCCTGAGTCAAGCTCCTCTCCACTAGAAGGCCCTCCCTGGTCCTCCCCTCACAGAGTCTCATCAATCACTAAAGTCTGGTTGAAGCCCCAGCTCACCTGGACCACTCCAGAATCAGCACACAGACACGGCACACCTGCACCCCTCGTTTTGACAATAATGTGCTTTCTGGAAGGGTGGCAGCTTAACACTTTCCTGAGTGTATCTCATCTTCCCTCAAATGCACTGAAAGCCTCTTCAGCACGAGAACTGTGCACACTTGTCCTGTCAATCCCCCCACTCTTGACAATGTCATGATGACTGCATAATAGCTACTTAATGTCTATTGAACAAACACGCTTGTCAGGTAGAAAAATAAAGGAGATGGCGTGTCAATATGAGCAACAGCTGTAGCTGGTAATCTCATTTTCCTCATTTGCTTAACAAGGTACCAAGAGGTACCCACAAACTTTGTGGGTTTCATTTGAAAAACCAAGGTAGCAAGTTATCGGTTATATCGAAACCTAATCGCAATTACAGAGGATAAAGAAAAATACTGAGTAGACAAAATTCCTAGGATATCATCAGTACTGGAGCCCAGACAGATCTCCTAACTTGACAAGGCATCAGCGTTCTCATCAGGAAATCAGGACTAATACCCGCCCTGGCCCTGTTCATAGGGCTGGTGTGAGGCAGGAGCAAACACTATGCAGAAAGAGCCAAGCAAATGACAGCTGTTATTCAGAAATAACACACCACGAGTACCACTCGTTTTGATTTTTTAAAAATCTATGTTTAGTTAGAATAAACACATTATTTCCTGTGTTTAAAAAATCCTCTTCAGCAGAATTCAAAGTCATCACCATATGTCCACATCAAGGTCTCTCCAGAACCAGTGCTGAATCTTTGCTTTATTGTGAGAAGCTAGTTGAGCAAACTTGAGTCTCCAGAGCTTTCTTGGCATTTGTGCTGATTGTCGCTGTTTTGCATTCAATTAGTAACTTCGCTGTGGCATTTCCTTGACCATCAAGGCATGTCTTTTTCTTTGCTGTATTTCTGTTTAGCATTTCAGAAATGTAGTTATTTTCCAAGTAGGTTATAAGCTCCTTGCCTCCAGACACCATATCATATAACCCCTGTTTTCCCCAGGATATTACATATTCTGTATACATAGACACACAACGAGTACTAAGGAACTGATAAATAAATGGCAAGCAATAGGATATATTGGAACACATGAGGAAGCCATTTGGAGTAAAACTAATTCGGCCTGAGTTTGTTTTTCCAAAAGGCCCTGTCGCGTGCATTGTGTATCTGCTTTCCCGTGTCCCAAAGAGAAGAGTAAATGCCCTTAAGATAAGGATGCAACTTCCCCCTACATTGGCATTTCCTTAAGGATGAGCATTTCTCCCTAGTCTAGGATTTGGTTGCTGCAGTCATCCTGAGACCACCCAGTTCGAGACAACAGACCTGACACCAGCCAAGCCCATCGAGACAGCAGACCTGCCCCGGCTGTGTCTATCAATAGCTATTCTGGCAGGACAATCTGACAGGGCGATCTTGTCGCTATTGTAAAAGGGACATTGCAATCCTATGTGATACATGCTTTTTGATGGTATATAACCACTTTGTACACCCCACTTCTTCGGTGCCCTTCCTTCCTCAGGGAAGGAAAGCCCAGGGCCATGGTCCTCAAAAGTTGCCTCATAATAAATTCACCCCAATTTTGATTTATAGATTGATTATAGATTATTTACATAGACATTTCTTGGTGTAGTCATGGCAGTATTTCAGAGAAACCCTCCAGAGACCACCTGGAATCTACACTGAACTGGCATTGGGTACCAATAGGGGCCCCTTGTGCCCCCCAGACGACTGCATTCTTCAGGTGACGCTGGTGAGTTCTCCTGAAACCCTCCTTATTTTAAGTTGATGGTCCAGAGTTTATTTGAGCTGTTCTCAAGGCTTAAGGCTAGGTGTCTTAAGGGGGTACTGGTACATTCCCTAGGTAAGAGGAACCTAGGGAGGAATTCCTAGGAGAGAGAAACACGGGGGGAATTTCCTAGGCCAGGGAAGCTTAGGGGGACCTTTTAGAGTGAATGGGGCAGGCTGACCTTTTTAATTTGGCTTAAAATTGGAAAGAGTTGTGTTTATAAGGTCTGAACAAAACTGCTTGATAAAGAAATGAGAGACTAAATCTGTTCAGCTCCGAAGAAAAGGGACATTGCTCCTCCCAGCCTTTCAGGAATTCTCAGGCAACTGAGAATCTCAGCGGGGGTGTCAGAGGTGAACCTCATGACGTGTAACGGTCCTTCCTATAGGGAGCTCCACTATCATTCACGTTAATTAATCACAGGTTCGTCCGGGGACGCGCATGGGAGGGTTGGTCACCCACGCTCCAAACTCCCACTGCGGTACCTAGACTGCCGTTGGGAGAAACCAAGGCATGTAAGAGAGTGATTACGACCTTTCTTTAGGGAGTATCTCTCACAAGCAGCACACTCCTGATCCACTACACCGTCCCTAGAAATTATTCAGAATTTATAGCAAAATAAAACTAAAAGAAAAGCGGGAAATTGAGCTTGCTCGACCAGTTC